GTGGATGGGATGGATCCTTCTCAGCTGTCCTCCCTCTGTCGCTATCATCCTGCCCCGTTGAGAGGCTGAGAGGCTGCATCAATTCCTCCAAACCTCTGATATCCCAGGGTAACTCAGGTGGAGACAGGCATCACCTCCATGGACAAAAGGGAGGTGAGGCTTTCTAAGCCTCAGAGCCAGGTTGTATGCAGCTAATTTGTTGTTAGGCAGTGTTGTGGTTTAACCCCAACCAGCTTTCACTCACTCACTCCCCCCCTTTCTTGCCCTCCCCCTACTCCTGGAGGGATGGAGAGGAGAATCAGAAAGAATGCAACTCCCACGGGTCGAGATAAGAACAGTTTAGTAACCAAGGTATAACACAAATCACTACTGCTACCACCAATAATAGTAATGATAAAGGAAATAACAAGGGAAGAGAATACAACACCCCATCACCAGGCGACCAATAACTTGCCCCCCCAGCCCGATAAAGCACCGACCGATACCTCCTCCAACCCTGCAGTCCACCTCCCCCTTCCGGGTCACTCCCAGTTACATCCTGGGCATGACGTGCTGTGGTATGGAATACTTCTTTGGTCAGTTTGGGTCAGGTGTCTTGTCTCTGCTTCCTCCTGGCTTCCCTCCTCCTTGGCAGAGCATGAGGCTCACAAAGTCCTTGGCCAAACCAAAACATCATTTTTATCAGCTCTGTTCCCAGCCTGAAAGTCAAAACACAGCACTGCACCAGCTACCAAGAAAGAGAAAAATGACTGCTACTGCTAAAACCAGGACATTATCCACCCCTTATTCCATACCATTCACGTCATGCTCAGATCCTACATTTTCAATATACCATCACTCTTATCTAAGTGCACTCTCATCGTAGTGCATGGGCCAGTCCCTATAAAGCTGCTGAGTCCATCTGGTCCATGATGTCAGGCTCCATCTCTTGTAACAGTCTTTCAGAGCAGGAGAGGCTGTGTGCAGTGTTCACACTTGTGAATAACCTGGGCAATAGTGTCCGTTGCTAAGTCCACCCCTCGATCATGAGTCCATCTCGATGTTGCATCTCTGCTCTGATGGCCTTAAGGGTCATGGGCCCACCAGGCTCAAAATAATTCACTGTCCTTCCATCTCCAATGCTTCCAAAGCACTGGAGGGGCCCAGTGGACTAGATACTTGCCCATACTGTCCCACATGCCCTGCCACTCATGATTGTCCAGCCTTGGGAAAAACCTCTTGGTCCTCCTGTATTGTTGTCTAAACCCAGACAAGACCCAAACCGGACTCTGCTTAAATTTTGGGATCAGACAAAATGGTGTTGGGTAAAACACACTCTGTGTGTGTGCTAACATGGTGAACACCATCACAGTCAGCAGGCAGATCCCAAGGGTACCCAAAACCTTCAGAACTCTCAAGCGATGCTGCTGTACTTGTCACTGGGGCTGGTGTAGCTGCTGTGCTTGCCGGCTCTCCCACCACCAGCTTCTCTTTTCCTGAGTCCAGCTCTTCCTCCTCTGCCTTGCTGGGAAATGCTGCGGGGTCTCCTGCATCCTCCTGGGGCTCGGCGGGCGGCTTCCGGGGAATGCTCTCGGCCGTCGCGGGGCTGGGCTCGGCCGCGGGGCTCGGCTCCTCCGCGGGGCTCGGCTCCTCCGCCGCCTTCTCCCGCTGCTCGGCAGCCTCCTCGACCGCCCCGACCTCCTCCACCGGCAGCCGTCCCCTTGCGGCCTCCCGTCCCGCTCCCGCTTGGTCCCCGGGGCCGCTCTCCCGGGCCGCTTCAGCAGCCGCCGGCTCCCGGGGCCGCCCCCCCTCGGCTCCCCAGAGCCTCACGCAGACGGAGGCGAGGGCGAGGGCCAGGACGGTGAGGAGCAGCCGGACGGCCAGGGACCAGTCCACGGCCACGTCCGTCCCGCCCTGCTGCTGGAGCCCACCCGTATTACAAGTCATTGCCATAAAGTACAGTGAGACAGGAACCTTAGCCCAAGCCCCACACTTGATAAACACTAACACAGCAAATACCGGCTCTAAGTAAGTTACAACATTCTGAAGCTGTGAGATCAAGAGGAACAACTCTGAGAGCCAATAAATCAGCATTGTGACGGTCAGATCTGTCGTTATCTCAACCCCTTCGTGCCCCACGTTGGGCGCCAAAAAAGAACTGTCGTGGTTTAACTCCAACCAGACAGCTTGTCCACTCACTCCCCCCCCTTTCTTGCCCTCCCCCTACTCCTGGAGGGACGGAGAGGAGAATCAGAAAGAATGCAACTCCCACGGGTTGAGATAAGAACAGTTTAGTAACTAAGGTATAACACAAATCACTACTGCTACCACCAATAATAGTAATGATAAAGGAAATAACAAGGGAAGAGAATACAACACCTCATCACCAGGCGACCGATAACTTGCCCCCCCAGCCCGACCAAGCACCGACCGATACCTCCTCCAACCCTGCAGTCCCCTGCCCCTTCCGGGTCACTCCCAGTTACATCCTGGGCATGACGTGCTGTGGTATGGAATACTTCTTTGGTCAGTTTGGGTCAGGTGTCCTGTCTCTGCTTCCTCCTGGCTTCCCTCCTCCCTGGCAGAGCATGAGGCTCACAAAGTCCTTGGCCAAACCAAAACATCATTTTTATCAGCTCTGTTCCCAGCCCGAAAGTCAAAACACAGCACTGCACCAGCTACCAAGAAAGAGAAAAATGACTGCTACTGCTAAAACCAGGACAGGCAGCCAAGGGGAATGACACGTGGAAGAGCTGTAGGCTGTGCATGCCATGAGACTGAGAACCCCTTGATATCCTAGCACATGGCCTGGGGTTCAAAGGATGCTGCTGTTCACAAGCACATCATCGCAGGTTGAAGGCAGCAATTCCAGTAACAAACTCCTCTATCACTGTGCTGTTGTGGTGCCAAATCCTTTGACCAGTTTGCAGTTGATTTCTTCATTTGCTGCACTCCCAACGTTAAAGGAAGATCTCAAAGGCAAGAATAATTAATATGGAATGTTAAATTGAAGAGAGCTGAATGATAGGAAAATGCAGAAAATGAAGATGGAGAAAATGAGGACAGAGAGCCTGGATCTCTGAATAACAGCACTGCAGAGCTGCCTTGGTCTGCAATGACATGTGAAGAAATACAGTTGCCTCTTATATAACAGGAGTTGACACCAGTTATGAATAGATGAGTGATCATGGCTTCAGCATCACAGCGGAGGATCTGATTTCAAATGAAGCCAGATTCATCCATCCAGGGCCCATCATAAGGCTATTAAAGGAGCATCTGTCACAAAACCACAATAGCTTTAAATGCCTGAAACAAAAATAAGCCCATTTAGCTTAAATACTTTTCTCTGGGTGATGTGGTTATTGCAATTCTTTAGCAAAAATTAATGATAAATGTGATGGGCAGCCAAAATACGTGATGGGAGCAGGGTGATGTTTGATTTTCACCTTAGCATAGAGTTTGGTTGTCTGTGTTTCCCGGCTAGCATGGTAGGCATGAAAGCCACTGGCAATGAGTTTTCTTGAGTAGAAGATTGCACAGCCCCAGCACACCAGGCACCCAGCTCCAGAACCCTGGCTCAGAGCACTCCCTCCAGGACACAAATGGGAAGATTTTTCCTGCTTTCTGATGCACCAGGGAAAGCATCTCCAGCAGCAAAAGAGGTCATCACGTTCAGGCCAAGATTTGGCAAGGAACAGGGGGAAGTGCTTGCTACCATGTTGGTGTGATTGGGTAACTAACTCATCAGGACTAGAGCCACACTGTGTTAAAAACGCACCTCGGTGTGTCACCTCCTGTCCTGTTGTCCCTTTGGGTGACATACACACTGACAGGAGCACAGAGATTGAAGGGCAAGACCACTGCTCATGCACAGACCTGCTTTATTATGTTCACAGTATGTTGAAAGCCTCTCATGTGCATTAGATTTATGCTCCTGGGGCTAGAAGTAGGCATTTAGGTCCTGTAATGCACATCAAACCCCCTCTAAGAGGAACTGGAGTGTCTGTGTGCAGCTCGATGGTGATGAGAAAGACTTTACTGTGTGGTGCAGCTTTGTGTTTATAATTCATATTAAATTGTAATCCCAATTCTTCTTTTCTTTATAAATTATATTTATCTGGGCTGAGTTGTTTTGAAAAATTGTCTTGAATGGGGATAAAAAGTTGGATTGTGGTCATACGTGCACAGTTGTTGGGTTCCTCTACAAAAGCATTTCATGCTGAAAGACAGTACTTTCTACCCAAAGTTTCAGTGTATGGAGGCATTGCCGATATTCATAGATCTTAAACCTAGAGCAGAATAAGGGTAAATTTTTAAAAGTATCCAAGTGTGTTAGAAAGATAAATCTCCCCTCTAGTCTCCACCCTCCCCCCCCCCAAAAAAACAATTTATACTCCCAGATTACTACCATCTAATCAGGCTCCTGGATTTTGTCCAAGTGCTGCATCTCCTGCAGTCCCAGCCCTATGCTGGGTTACGAACTGAAGCAGTGACTCAATCAGGCAGATTCATCTCCCTTCATCTGAGCTGACTGAAAGCAAGGCATCTCCTTGAAGCAAGATGACAAGTCTCCCTCCCTTCCCAGCAGAGAGACAGGCATCTCCCAAAGGTAACTCAACCTGTCCTGGGAGCGAGACCTATATGCTCCAACCTCTTATCTGAATAAACCCTTGCAGAAAAATGTATGTGTACAGAATCCAGCACAATGGACAGATTAGGACCTTCATCCATCAGGGAATAAAAATAACAAGTAATATTACAGCTGTGTATTTTCATAGATTGCAATCAGGGCTCACAACACATGCACACTTAATTTCCTGCTTTCAGTTCACTATCGGATTTTATGAGTAGGTTAGTGGGGTTTGTTTTTTGTAAGAATAGGATTTACAACAATACATTAAGCCATGAAAACGAGATTGAAAAAGATTAATAGGAAGCAGAAGTATTCATCTGAGATTAACAAAGATTAATGTGTGTCTTATTCTTATCTGTTTTCTTTTCACTTTTTCTCTTAGTTACCTAGACAGCTTAGATCGAATCGGAGCTGCAGACTATCAGCCCACAGAGCAGGATATACTCCGAACCAGGGTCAAAACAACTGGCATTGTAGAAACCCACTTCACATTTAAAAACCTCCACTTCAGGTTAGTCTAAAACTGCACAGTAAATTTTCAGTGCATCTATTTGTCCCAGTTTCCCCATGGTTCTTAAAGGAGAAGTTGTTAAACTGCTGGTTAATGCATGGATGGCTCCCACTGCAGAAGGCACAGCATTTTGGAGGACCAATACTATGACCCTGTCTTGAAAATCACTGCCTTTAAGATGGGAGCTCATGGTAGCTTCTTCTAACCCAAATGGCACCTCTTTGTTGAGAGATATAAGACAAGATTGACCCCCTCAAGTCTGATCAAGCCTCGTAAAAATATTTGGCCAAATCTTTTCTATAAAGTGGGTCAGTCACATGCTTTTTATTGACCTTCATGATGCCAGCCAGTAGAGAGAAGAGGGCATAAAGGCAGAAAGCCACTCACAAACAGTATTCAGAGCATATCACAGAATCAGTCTCCACCTCTGCAGACCATTTGGGACACAGCACACTGCTGAGGTTCTCCCACAGATCCCCACATCCTTTGCTGTAACTACTCCTCCTGGTCCTCCTTGGATACCAAGCCAGTGGTGAAAGGCCTGCTGATTTGTGTTTGGAGCCATCCATGGACAGTATGCTCCATCCCTGGCAGTGTTCAAGGCCGGGTTGGACAGGGCTTGGAGCAACCTGGCCTATGGGAAGGTGTTCCTGCCAGTGGCAGGGGGTTGGAACTAGATGTTCTTAAGGTCCATTCTATGATTCTATGAAATTCCAAGAATGCTAAAGTTTCCTTGTAACTAAGAAAGAGCCGGCACTGATGGTCCTCTCCTGTGCCGTAGGCTCTTTGATGTCGGGGGCCAGCGGTCAGAACGCAAGAAGTGGATTCACTGCTTTGAGGACGTCACAGCGATCATTTTCTGTGTCGCGCTGAGTGGCTATGACCAGGTGCTCCATGAAGATGAAACCACGGTAAGTCTAACCAGGTCTTGGAGGCCCAAACATTTCTTTATGGAATATTGCATAGCCAGCAACTACTCAGAGATCACTGAATGCTCACTGGGGTGCTGAAGTAATGTGCTTTTGTCAGTCACGCTCCCTTGAAACTGAAATCCTGGGGAGATGTGTCCTTCTCCACACTCTTCAAAACCAAGTCTGCATGCCCAGGTAATGCTTCCTTGCACTGGTAAAGCTGAGTGTTTTATCTCTTCTTTCTAGCTGACCTGTGTGTTTTCAGAAGGTGTTAACAGGACCCTGTATCCAGAAAAAGGAGATAGAAGTGGGCTCTTAAAATAAATGTTCAGGAAGTAGTTGCATCATGGTGCAGAGGTGCAGGACGGCCATGCACACCCAAGACAGACTTGGCTAGGAATATAATCTATTTCTTCAGGCTACAGAGTGAGACTGGAGCTGTTTGATTCCTCAGGCAACTTGATCCAGGAGAGCTCTTATAACTTCCCACTGTGACATTAGGCTCAAAATACCATCTGGAAATAAAGCTAGCAAGGACCATAAATCCATAAATGATCCATAATCCATAAATGATTGGCTTCGAGGCTGGTGTTCCAGGCAGGGCTTTGGATTCTTTGATAACGGCTGGTTTTATAGGGCACCGGCCTGGACATTGGCATATGGGAAAGGTTTATCGCGCAGAGGTAAAAGGATGCTGGGGCACGAATTAGCAGGGCTCATTTGGAGAGCTTTAAACTAGATTTGAAGGGGGATGGGGTTGTAGCTGGGCTTGCCTCAGTGGGACAGTGCTCCGGAATTGATGAAGACTGGGAGGCCTCCTGTAATCCTAGGGTGAAATCGGTGTGCTCAGCTCGCTCCCTGAAATGTCTGTACGCCAATGCGCGCAGCATGGGAAATAAGCAGGAGGAGCTAGAAACCTGTGTTAAGTCAGGAGATTATGACCTGGTGGCAATTACAGAGACGTGGTGGGACAGCTCACATGACTGGAATATAGTCATGGAGGGCTATGTCCTTCTCAGGAAAGACAGGCCAGCCAGGCGGGGTGGGGGGGTTGCTCTTTATGTGCGAGAGCAGCTACAATGTGTTGAGTTCTGTCCGGGGACAGATGATGAGCGAGTCGAGAGTCTGTGGGTGAGAATTAAGGGGCAGGCTGGCAGGGGCGATACTGTTGTGGGGGTCTGTTACAGGCCACCGGATCAGGGTGAGGAAGTTGACGAGGCCTTCTACAGGCAGCTGAGAGTGGCCTCACAGTCACAGGCCGTGGTCGTCGTGGGGGATTTTAACTTCCCTGATGTTTGCTGGAAGGACTACTCGGCAACCCAGCCGCAGTCCAGGAGGTTCCTCCAGTGTATGGATGATAACTTCCTCATGCAAATGGTGGATGAGCCAACCAGGAGAGGTGTGCTGCTGGATCTCATCCTCACTAACAAGGAGGGTCTGGTTGAAGGAGTGAAGGTTGAGGGCTGCCTTGGTTGCAGCGACCACGAGATGGTAGAATTCAGGATCTTGTGTGGTAGGGTCAGTAGAATAGCAAGTAGAATCGCAACCCTGGACTTTAGCAGGGCAAACTTTGGCCTCTTCAAGCGATTGCTAGGGGAAATCCCGTGGGCTAGGCTGCTTGAAGGGAAAGGGGCCCAAGATAGTTGGTTGACGTTCAAGGACTGCTTTTTCCGAGCTCAAGATTGGAGCATCCCGACACGTAGGAAGTCAAGGAAGAGGGTCAGGAGACGTGCGTGGCTAAATAGGGAATTGATCGGTATGCTCAAGTGGAAGAGGAGAGTTTACAGGTCATGGAAAGAAGGGCTGGCCACTTGGGAAGAATATAAGGCTGCTGCTAGAGGATGTAGGAAAGCTGCTAGGATGGCTAAGGCCTCCTTGGAATTAAAGCTGGCGAGAGGGGTCAAGGACAGCAGAAAGAGCTTTTTCAAATACATGGCAGGTAAAACTAACACCAGAGGCAATGTAGGCCCGCTGATGAACGGGACGGGTGCCCTGGTGACAGAAGATACAGAGATGGCAGAGTTACTGAATGCCTTCTTTGTCTCTGTCTACTCTGCCGGAGGCAGTCCTGAAGAGCCCTGTACCGCTGAGACCTCGGATGAAGATAGGTCAACGGAGCGGTCTGCCTTAGTCGATGAGGAATGGGTTAAAGACCAGTTGAGCAATCTGGATATCCATAAATCCATGGGTCCAGATGGGATGCACCCGCGGGTGCTGAGGGAACTGGCTGAGGTCATTGCTGGACCGCTCTCCATCATCTTTACCAAGTCTTGGGAAACGGGAGAGGTGCCTGAGGACTGGAGGAAAGCAAATGTCACTCCTGTCTTCAAAAAGGGCAAGAAGGAGGACCCGGGTAACTATAGACCGGTTAGCCTCACCTCCATTCCTGGGAAAGTGATGGAACACCTTGTCCTTGGTGCCATCTTAAGGCATATCAAGGATAAGAGGGTTATGAGGGGCAGTCAACATGGCTTCACCAAGGGGAAGTCGTGCTTGACCAATCTCGTAGCCTTTTATGAGGAAATAACACGGTGGATGGATGATGGTAGAGCGGTGGATGTGGTCTACCTTGACTTCAGCAAAGCGTTTGACACGGTCTCCCACAGCATCCTTGTGGCTAAATTGAGGAAGTGTGGTCTGGATGATCGGGTAGTGAGGTGGACTGTGAACTGGCTGAAGGAGAGAAGCCAGAGAGTTGTAGTCTATGGGGCGGAGTCTAGTTGGAGGCCTGTATCTAGTGGAGTGCCTCAAGGGTCGGTACTGGGACCAGTATTATTTAATATATTCATCAACGATTTAGATGAGGGAATTGAGTGTACTATCAGCAAGTTTGCTGATGACACTAAGCTGGGAGGAGTGGCCGACACGCCAGAAGGCTGTGCTGCCATCCAGAGAGACCTGGACAGGCTGGAGAGTTGGGCGGGGAATAACTTGATGAAATATAACAAGGGAAAGTGTAGAGTCCTGCATCTGGGCAGGAACAACCCCAGGTTCCAGTATAGGTTGGGGAACGACCTGTTAGAGAGCAGTGTAGGGGAGAGGGACCTGGGGGTCCTGGTGGACGACAGGGTGACCATGAGCCGACACTGTGCCCTTGTGGCCAAGAAGGCCAATGGCATCCTGGGTTGTATTAGAAGGGGGGTGGTTAGTAGGTCGAGAGAGGTCCTCCTTCCCCTCTACTCTGCCCTGGTGAGACCTCATCTGGAATATTGTGTCCAGTTCTGGGCCCCTCAGTTTAAAAAGGACAGGGACCTGCTGGAGAGAGTCCAGCGCAGGGCAACTAAGATGATTAAGGGAGTGGAGCATCTCCCTTATGAGGAAAGACTGAGGGAGCTGGGTCTCTATAGTTTGGAGAAGAGGAGATTGAGGGGTGACCTTATTAGTGTATATAAATATATAAAGGGGGAGTGTCATGAGGATGGAGCCAGGCTCTTCTCAGTGGCAAACAATGAAAGGACAAGGGGTAATGGGTACAAATTGGAGCACAAGAGGTTCCACTTAAACCTGAGAAGAAACTTCTTCTCAGTGAGGGTGACGGAACACTGGAACAGGCTGCCCAGGGAGGTTGTGGAATCTCCTTCTTTGGAGACATTCAAAACCCGCCTGGACACGTTCCTGTGTAACCTTATCTAGGTGTTCCTGCTCCAGCAGGGGGATTGGACTAGATGATCTTTTGAGGTCCCTTCCAATCTCTAACATACTGTGATACTGTGATACTGTGACCCGCGTGCTCCCTGGTATTAGAGTGTAATTAATACAAGTAAATTAAATACACAGAAAGGATGTAAGAAGACTAATTAGTGTAGTTTGGCCATTCACTTAGTGTTGCATGCTTTTGGGACTAACAATGACTGTGGCAAGCACCTAGTAGCCTTTATCTAACTAAAAAGGAATTGGAGGCCATACTCAGACTTGTTAATGATTTTATCTATGCCCAGTCTTGTGGCAGCATGGAAGGCTCACTCCTGCCTATCTCTCTGGGACTCTTTATTCTCCTGCTGATGAAGATGTCAGGCTTGCAGAAAGCTGTTGATGAAGAAGGAATCAAGGGAAAGATTGCTGTTAGGTATCAGTTGCCTTGTCCCAAAAAGGCTGGGGGAGGGGGGGCTGTGGTTTCTAGACTCTTTGAGCCAGGTTTATGAGCTCTAGTAAACTGATGAAGTCACCTGGTTGTTTGAGTTGTATTGAACCCAGAATTCATGCTTATATTAACGTCATGACTCCAGACTGACTGAGACACCCTACATCCTCTTATGTCCATTTATTTATAATCCTCAGTTGTCACCTCCCTCTGACCTCATGCTCAGGGATGCTCAGTCCTGTAGGATTTACTGGGAAGGAACTAAAATCTCCTGACATGATTTGGAAAACCCAGCCATTAGCTCAATACCATAGAGCTCTGCAGCTGAGCAGGAGAAACACACCCAGGAGATAAAGAAGAATACACAGAGAGAGGGCAGACCCAGGAGGCAGGGAGCTAAGCTGTGGTATGAGCAGGGAGCAAGGTGAATGGTAGGTATAACTTGGGCTGTGACACCCAAACGGTGAAGCCAAAAGTATCCTTTAATACTGGTCACCTTTGGGTGCCAGAGCTGTGATTCAAAGCCGCAGAACACAAGATGGAAGGGCCCGAATGCCAATGCCATTTTTAAATATCAACCTGAACTCAGCTCCTGAGGTGGAGGTTACAGAATCTCTCCTGGGGAAGCTGAGTTCTGCCGGTGACTGCCACCCAGCACCACTCTGATGACAGGCAGGGTGCCAGCTCAGACTCCCCCCTGAAGTACCCTGCTGCAGAAAACTGGGATTTATACATCTCCAACTTTCCTTTTGCACCAGGAAAGCAGACTTGCACTGCTTTGGCACAGCACTGACATTTGCTTGCTATTTCAATCCCTTTTCACAAAGCTTTTCTAGGGATGCTGAGCAACAGGAGGGCAGAGGCAGCTGCTGTTCACTTACACACTCGGTGCAAACAGGGAAAAGATTCAGCATCAGCA